CGAGCTGATGCCAGTCTTGAGCCTGGATTACCAGGTCCACACCGAGAAGAAAAAAGAGGGCAGTGGCGCGTGCTCTGGGTTTCTCGTGTCCTTAAGCTGGTCGGGCTTTGGTGTTTGCTGGAGCGCGTTAGGATCCCAAACAGCATATCAGACTCATGCATGCTGACTTTTGGAAGCATCGCCCAGCTGCAGACTCCATGTGCCGCAGAGCGGGCCTTGACGCAGCCGATCCGTGTAGCTACTGTGGAGTTGCCTCTCAGAACCCTCGTCGCCACAATCTCAGCTGCATTGTGTTGTTCCAAGCTGCCTTAGCCAAAGCTCATCTGGACAATGCCTCCCCCTCAGGTGACGATGGAGGACCAATCCGTGGATGCCGGCCTCGCAGCCCAGGCGCGAGCGGAGCTGGATTTGGTCTTCAGTACGAAGCCGTGGGAGAAGCCACCAGCAGGGGAGAAGGAGGGCGATGGAGCCGAGAAGGACAAAACGGCAGAGGACGGGGACTACGAGCGCCGTCCCAAGTGGCGCCGGGACGAGAGCAAAGGCAAAGGTCCATCCTCCAGTTCCTGGGAAGGATGGGGCAAGCGCCGCTGGGCTCAGGAAGCTGCAAAGGAGAAGCCGAGCCAGGCGGAGGAGAATCCGCAGACGCAAGAACTCATCCGCTGTCTGGTGAAGATGTCGGTACGGCACGAGCAAGAACTCATGAGGATCCGCCCGGACGTGGGGTTCATAGCATTCTGCGATACTTCGGAGCACGGGTGCATGGCAATGCTTCGCGGGGTTGCCCTGAACTGGTCGGAGCTCTTTGAAATCAGCACTAAAAACAGTGCTGGCGCTGGCCATGATGCGCGACATGCGGGAGCGAGCCGAGCAGACTCTCCAAGACGAAGAAAAACTCCAACGCTGCTTCAGTGTTGGATGGGCTCGCATGGGAGAGACCGCACTCGACCCGGTCTGGGTCTACCACACGTGGAATGCTCAGGAGAAGAAGCAGGAAGTCGCGGATGTTCATCCTCTGAAACACACAGAGGCGCTGAAGCTCCTGGATCTCTTGATCGAGCACCTGCCCCGCGAAGGCGTCCTGACGAAGTTCGGCTCGACAAAACGCCTCGACCTCATGAAGGAGTTCAAGACGGAGGTGGTACCGATTATGCTTCAGCTGGGCCTCCGCGGCCAGTCGAGCCAGCAATGCTACGATGCTCTGAAGACCCTCAGCGGCTGCTCCATCATGAAGCTTCAGGGAGTCAGATGGCGTCCAGAGAGGGCGCACAAGCCTCCGTTGGCGAAGGCCTTGGAGGACGCCTACCTGGCCACCTCCTTCTGCGACTGGGCGCCTCGGAGCCAGCAGGACACGTGGGCGCGTCGGTCGGCCTAGGTGGCCCACCGGCGGAAGCGACACAACAGGGGGTGTCGCTTCGTGCCCGCGGGAAACTCAGCATCATGTCTGCCAGACTCAAGAATGATTCGAACCTTTGTTATGCAAATAGCGTTGTTCAGGCCGTGACGTGGATCATGATGACACAAGGCACTGCTGTGGGAAAGCTGAAGGCCTGCCTTCCGATCCTCAGGTCGTCTGAACCTGTTCACTTGCCTGACTGTTTAGCGCTGCGGTGGCTGTTTGCTGGCTGGAGCCAACTGCACCAGCAACACGATGCAGGAGAGTTTTTGGCTCATTGCCTTAATGCAGCAGAGGCTGAGGCGTGGGAGGGTCGTTGGGAATCTCGACTTTCGGAACCATTTCGTGTTGCCGACGCAGGCACGCTGCTTCGAGCTATCCCACTGCCAATCACAGGCACCACCCTGCAGTCCTTGCTGGATGCGTGGAGTCAGCAGTATGCCCCACATGCGTTAACACTGCATAATAATGTGCTTTTCTTGCAACTTGAGCGCTACGGTGCTGATGCCAACAAGAACCAACAGCTGCTGCGCATCCGGCCAGGGGATCAACTGGCAGTTCCGCTGTTCGCTGAGCCTGCGAGCTTAGCGACAAGACACGAGACCTTTCAGGTTGTTACGGTTATCTACCACATAGGCCACACGGTTAAGAGTGGGCACTACCAGACTCTGCTTGGCCATCCTTCGGAAGATGGAAGTTGGGGTTTTCTAGTCTGTGACGACAATAGATCACCCAGAGCTGCCCGCAAGACTGACCTTAACTTAGTGGATAGGAATGCCTACCTGATAGGCCTCGTGCGAAGCCAGTAATTTGCGGCAGGGCCTACGGGAAGCCCTAGTGACAATTCCCGTCTGCATAAGAGCTGTGGCCGAACGCCGAAGCGCGTGGGTGAGGCTGCACAAAGAGTGCAATCTTCTTGCACAACATTCCATCTCTGCCTGTTCGTGTTCAATCATTTTCCATGATGCATGCAACCATCCTCGAGCTGGCTCAGCCTCAGGGGATAAGTTTGGTGCCTAGGTCGGCGCCATACTGCGCTAGGTCGCGCAGCTTCCCCACTTGCATCCAACGTGGGGACCCTACTGTGCCTGGACAGACTTTGCCAGCTGATCGACCTGCCAAGTACTTGCGTATCAGTTTGCTCAAGCGGCTGCACTGTAGGCAGGTGTAGCCGTCACGCCTAGGTCGGCGTGTAGAACCTCCGAGGCATGTCGTGTGCCCTTAGCCTCCCTGTGCATATGCAAGCTGTTGCAGAGGAAGAACGGCAGCTGCTACAATACTTGCACCGGAAAGTCCCGGCCCATCGATGTCACCCGTCGCTAACAATGCTGACTCGCAATGAAATCATCGCGCTGGCGCGAGAGTTGCTACTGCAGGATGACTGGGCGTCCTTCTGCGCATATGTGGATGAGCTCGCTCGCTCTGTCCAGCAGGATTGTATCATTGGTTTCCCAGCGCCAAGCTACGTCGAGCTCACCCAGGTGCCGGAAGCTGAGAACCTAGCGGAACAGTTTCTACAGGAAGGCTCAGGTTCCTTGTGGTCCGCCGTACGCGAGGTGACACGCTGCCTGCACTTTGAGGATGACCCCAGGGAGGTCGCTCAGGGTCAAACCTTCCGATTGGGGCTTTGCTCCAAAGGCGGCATCCTTGGGATGACCAGGAACACCAAGACGCATGTCTCGGTCAGCAAGCTGCTCAACGCCGCGGTGTTGTCCACCTACAGACAACATAGGTGGACCTCGCTCAGTGTCGATCTGAACAATGGCTTAGAACCGCACCAAGACCGGGGGAATGCGCCGGGGTCCAGCTTATTGATCGGACTGACGCATCACCGCGACGGAGGGCTCTGGATAGAGGACCGATTTGGAGGGACAATCATGACTGTGGAGGGCCACCATGTACGAGGCCAAGTCTTTGCCACGCAGGCACAGGCCATCCTGTTCGATGGAAGGAACCGGACTCATTGCTCAATGCCGTGGAAAGATTGCCGCNNGCCGCATGCCAACATGACTCCGGAGCAGCGAGCTCTTTTGGACGAAGCTGGCTTTATCCCACCGGACCCGTGTGTAGAGGGACAGGCAACCGTGCCCCAAGGGCAGCAGTTGATGGAGCAATATTTCAGATGTAATGGCTGATTTGCACCAGACTGCCTGGGCTCACTAGTGACCGCGGCAGCGAGTAAGGCTAGTCCCCAGTGCTCCTGCATTGCGCTGTTGCGGTTCACATGACATTTCATCCCTCTGCCTTTCTGGTTGTTTGGTTTAGGGCCCCGCCTCTGCCTAAGTAGCTACAATTTCGAAGTCTGATGCTTGGTGGTTTTAGGGTGGGGCAATTGCCGCAGAGTGCACTTGAGCTGTCGGGCGGCCTGTTGTATCAGGGAGTCAATAGGCTGCTCAAGGCAGTGACCAGATCCTCAGACCAACTGTGCCACCTGTGCAGTGGGCGGCATGCACCTCTGTAAGTCGATGTGCTTGCCTGCATAGCTGTGACGCAGATGTAAATTGCTGCATCGCTGCATTGCGTGTTGCAGCGCGTGACGAAACCCATCACTTAAAGTCACCGCATTCTTGCTCAGGTCATGGCCTCTCATGGTGCTGACGGCAGCGGCGGTTCTGGAGCTGGAGCTGCTGGCGCTGCTGGCGCGAGGTTGGGCCGTGCGAGGTTTGGAGTGGGCAGAGGATCTATCTGCCAGAATCCTGGCTGTGGGCGTGAATATCGCCGCGCAAGACATAGACACTGCTGCTCTTTGTGTTCTGTTGGAAGACATACTCCTCGCTGTGACGAAGATTGGGTGGCCTACCAACGACGTATCTCTAGAGCTCAGAGACGAGTTGCAAGAGGCGCGCTTACTGTCTGCGAGAATCATGGCTGCCGAAGGGTGGCAGGACTGGGACACACCCGTTGCTGTACCCTGTGCACCTGGAGTGGAGGTAGCGAGCACACGGGGCACTGCCATGCACGTCAACAGTATGTGCAGGTACAAGACCCCAATGGCCGTCATCATTCTGATCCAGCTAGCTCGTCCGATGCTCCATTCCATGATGCTGGAAATGTCCAGGCTGTCGCTTCAAGGGATGCAGGTACGGATCTCACACTGCCTGCTGGGGCCCAGCAGGGACAAGGACAAGGGGTCATTACAGTCCTCGACTCCGAAGAAGAAGCTGATATGGCCATCGCGCTGGCGGCAAGTTTTGAGGATACTACAGGCTCCGAGGATGTGGCATGCTTAAATTTTGAAGAGATGGATTAGTTGTGGCTAGAAAAGCTAGTGATCGATGCAGCTGGAAGCTGCTTGCTTCAATGGAACACCAAAACGGTGTGCCGTCACAGAACGGCCGGGGGCCTTGTCTGCTCTTGTCCAATCCCTCGTCAAGCACCTGGACTGTGC